AAACACTAATCATCGAAATTTGCCCGTCATTAACACTGAGTTCCATCGCGGTTTTAAACTTCATGCATTCAGAAAAATGAATGGGTACACAGAATGTACCAATTTTTGGCACCTAAAGATCATCTTGGCAGCGCACGAGTCTGCTGTCATAACGATCGTGTCTGCCTTCATTTCAATCTAGTCTGCCTTCAATTTAATCGAGTCTGCCTTCAATTTAATCGAGTCTGCCTTCAATTTAATCGAGTCTGCCTTCAATTTAATCGAGTCTGCCTTCAATTTAATCGAGTCTGCCTTCCTTTCAAAAGAGTCTGCATTCATTTCAATCAAGTCTGCCTTCGTTTCAATCGAGGTTGCCTATAATTCAATACGATTTAAAGTCTGCCTACAATACGATCGAGTCTGCCTCCAATACGATCGAGTGTGCCTCCATTACGATCGAGCCGCCTCCAATACGATCGAGTCGCCTCCAATACGATCGAGTCTGCCTTCAATACGATCGAGTCTGCCTTCAATACGATCGAGTCTGCCTCCATCCAAGAGCCAAGCTTCACTACAATCTATGGCCTGCGTCAGGTCGAGGAGCAGTATACGGCTCAGCTGTGCTACGCTGGACGCCGCAGCGCATAACTTTGGCTGCCGTCCAAGACTTTCAACTCTAAAAACTTTGCTCTCAGCTCATGAAAAGCTCTTCCACGACCACGGCTTTTATGGTATCTTCACTTCCAGCCAGTATAAACCTTTTACTGAAACGCATAAGAAAAACTTGCATTTCAGGTATAAACATTCCTGTAGCCGTAAAATTAGGAATTATTCATTGGACAGTAAGGGTAACTTTACACCCTGCTTTTTGTAGATTGGGTCATGCTCACACTTTAGCGGCTTTCGACAAAATATCCTAATTACATAAAATTAATTTGTTTTTGTTTGCGGTTATGATTTTTCATCTCTTCTTCATCACGAGTTTAATGGGTAATCCAGTGGACGTCACTTTCAAAAAGGATCACACGATTCCAGCTATCGTACTTCATGACATCCTATGATATCACAACAACACATCAAATGATCCACCATGTATCTGACGTTAAATTAACGTCGATTTAACATCATTACAACTAAATTAACTCATAATCAACTTATTTTCAAATCGATTTAACATCATTACAACTAAATTAACTCACAATCAACTTATTTTCAATGTCAGGGGAGATAATGGACAGCGCAGTAAAACGTTAAACGGCAGATGGACGTAACCCGTTACCCGAGGGGCTCTCTCCCCATATTCATTATGGAGGCAAACACTTACGAGCCTCGGTTATAATGGACGCGGCATGTGAGTGCCAGCAAATGACCAGGTGGTCTCCGGCTTATGCTTCAGTGTAAAGAAAACGCGACGTGAAGAGCCAACGCTTGCTTGCGTGCCGTCAATAACCGCCTTTGTGTATCTAGCGACGTAATAAGTCATGTTCGCTATCATCCGGGAAAGGAAAACATTCCAGCAATCAAAATCAATGACCATATTAAATAACTTTCAATACTGTGCTCGTCGAGAACGGTTCAGCTCAAATTCTATAGTAGAATTGATGAACACCTTGAACAAAATGATAAGTATAAATTTAACGGTGCAAAGTATATACGAAATGACATCTTAAAACATGTAATTTGTTTGGAATAAAAAAGCTTATTGTTTACATTTTTTCTCAAGTTCCGGATACTAAAATCTACACAGGAAACTGAACTTCTGAAAGAAATGTAACCTTTTATTTACGAATACATTAACCACTGTCAACGACTTTTCCCATCTGAAGATCTAATGAAATAAGTTGCCATCAATAGGTAAAAGAGCTAAAAAAAATATAACTCAGTACTCACTGCAGTGAGTGACAGAGCGCGCATTTTCTCGTCGACGAAAACGTGAAGTCACGGACGGACAGACGAACGGACGGACATGGCGAGCACAATAGCGCCTTCTTTCCATAAATGAGTAAATGCGCTAAAAAATCTCGTAGTCAAACACAATTCAGATAAAGACAACAGTTTCCTCCTCACTCCTCGGCACGGGAAAATCCTCGAGTCTTGTCGGTAATCGAACGTTGATTGAATTCATCCCAGAAGACGAGGAAGAATCCGCAAGTCATCAATCGTGAAGTGTTGATCTGCCGGATTGCGGATAACAAACAACCATCACAGCCTTGTAGGACGGCGAGACTTGTAGAAATATCAAGTGATTCTTTAACACGGAAATATCAAGTGATTCTATAACAAGGAAATATCAAGTGATTCTATAACAAGGAAATATCAAGTGATTCTATAACAAGGAAATATAAAGCGATTATAAAAGGCGGAAATATCAAGTGATTCTATAACGAGGAAATATAAAGTGATTCTATAACAAGGATATATAGTGACTGATTTAAGTGTATAATTTCTATGGAAGGATCCAACATTTGTATTAACGAGTCCATGAACTCGTGTATACTGGAAAAAAATCCACGTCTAAATTAGATCGAAGAAAGATATACAATATGTAGGATTTCAGAGTGTTATTCAAAGTTGAAAGTTTTCAGTGCGCCACATAAGAGCTTGTCACTCTCATCCTGACAAACTAATTAGTGTTCAGGCCTAAAAATTTTTTGGTAAGTAATTGGCAGCGAGAATCCACAACAAAAATATTTCAGCGCGAACACGTTATATTATTTGGCTCAGAATAAACAAGAAAATTGCAGAATTATGAGTAAATTTGTTTTCGTTCCAGCACTACGTTTCGTTTATCTTTATACAGAGCTTATCCCAGTAGGGTTTTAATGTCTATATAAAATGGAGAACATTCTAAAAGTATAAAAAAAATTATGAAAACTTTCTGAGTACAAATTATTTGACGTTAAGTAACATTAATCAACGTTAAATAGATTATGAATCGAAAATAAAAATTGAATAAAATTTCCCGTGCGCATGTCATCATGTTAGAGCAAAACAAGTGCACGGTATTGCGCTCAGATTGATTGGACTCATTCAGAGACGTTCATAGTTCGCGATAAGGTACACTCAGGATCCACTCAGTGCGAAGAATTGATCTCCGATACCGACACTGAGTTCTGCCGTTCATCTTACAAGCATTTCAAGTCACGACAACGATAACCGATACAGGTCCAGATTGCAGCTGTGATGAACCGGCCGAGTTTTCTACAGAAAATCGATGACAAAAGTCAGCTGAAGGCATGATTATCTGAAACAAGAAATGTGACGCCGCATATCGTCAGTAAAGACATGCAATCGCTCATCAAGCCAAGGTATTTAAAGCTAATTTAAAGCGAGGAAAAGTCATAAAATTATATTTGGTTCCATTTACCCTCTCAGTCTGCAGTCCCGTTAACCAATATATGCAATTGTTAATTTCTAACGCAGTATGAAAAAAAGAAATATTGATACGGTACATATTGAAGATTATCAACGAGTTTAGAGATCGATCAATCCATCATCATCACAATATAAACTAGGAATCGGACAAAATCAGAGGATGCTAAAATAACTCAAATAAACTAGGCTGGACAAAATCAGGGGATGCAGAGAGCAAGTCTGCTGGGTGGGAATGTGCTCAATATGAATAGCTGGAATGAGTGCATCCGTTGAATTTACAACACAAAATGCCCGGTAGCTCGTAAAGGCCTGTCGGTATGAGGAAATCGGGGACTGAGCACCAACACGAGCTTAGTGAATTGACGATTTATTTAAATGATATTCCAAGCACGTCACGGCGTTCCATAAACGAGAAATGAAGTTTCTGCCCAGGCAGGCTGAAGAAATGAAAAAGGGGGAAAATAAAAAGGAGCGAATAGGATGATAGATTGGGTGAACAAAAGAAACGGTAATGAAAATTAAAAAAATGATGAATATATTTAACTGAAGGTAATAAAAATACTTTATATTCATTTATAGGTCTTTATATTTAGATATAAAAAATTAAAAATTATGAATAAATAATATGAGCGTCATGAAAAAAAAACATCTGGAGTTCACGGATTGAGTTTTGTCCGAGGTACATACATTCTTGCAATATTAAAGCTGAAGAAATGAATCTTTGTTTCCATGCACAGCGCGTTTGAAAACTTCACATTATGGAATGATACTAACACTTAATACTTACGCAACAACTTACATTGCATAAGAAACAAGATGCACTTTAAGGTTACTGTTTGCGATAGGCACTCGACGGCAAAAAAAAAACATTTCGAGTGGAGCGACCAAGGGCCTGTGCAAGGAGCAACATAGGGGCCTTGACTCTTGAGGAGCAATGAGCCTGTTTGTTCTCACGCCTTTTGGGGAGAGATTTCAGTTTGTCTTTCAGGTTAGGAAGAGGAGGATAAAAGACCCTTCAGGACACTTCAGTGGCTCAAGGAGAACGCTAAGCGATTTAGGAGCTGTTGGCAGTCAGTCTCTTATACTCTAAGGAAAAATTCGAGCCCAAATGCCTTCAATTGTCTCAAAGATACCTAGTGATGACATCGGAAATATATATATCAAATACCTTTTATTATATAAAAGGTATTAGTACCTTTTATTATTACCTTTTTGTATTAGTGCCTTTTAAAGGTATTAGTATCTACAATACCATTAATATAACCAAATATTGAAAACATAATAATAGCTGAAATACTGGGATGAGTTATGGGAAAAACAGTTTTACAGATATTATACTTGACGAAAATAAACTAGCAATGGGGAAAAAAGGCAGGCTTCATCGTTCCTTGAAAATTTGGGCATGGTCTTAATTGAACGGAGATGCTACCATCTCCAATATTTGGACATGGTCCAAATTTCAGTCCAAATAGAAAACCTAGCAATACCTCTGAACTTATTCTACAGGGTGTTTCAGAATTAAGTAACCCTTTTAATTTGTTAATAAATAAAAAACTAAGAACGTTATGAAGTTGAAACTTGTTTTATTTAAAAGAAGAACNGTAGAGGTCTTGGATGGTGACCCATGCATAGAATGAGACGTATTGTCAATTTGTTGCAGCACTTCTCGCTGGTGGAAAGGATGATGGCGAGGTGAAATATTTGCAGGCGCTACGGATGCAATAGAAGATTCTTGACCTGGGCTTTTGGGAGGCGAAGATTCGGGCGTTGAGGAAGTGCATGACGTCTTCAGAGTAGAGGTCTTGGATGGTGACCCATGCATAGAATGGTGCGGGATCTGGTGATGTGACGAGTGGTGACGCCGGTGTAGGAGAGTTCCGTGTCTTAGAGGATCGTGAGGATCCAGAGGATCCATGGTGCCTAGTGGATCTCGCATGTGATGAGGGATGTGAGTGGAAGAGGCGTGATGACGGCGACGAGAATGACGGTGCAGCAACATCGGAGAGTCCCGAAGAGGAGAAGACCCACGACGCATAGGAGATTTGGAGGTTGGTGATAAAGCGAGAGACCCTTTGGATGAGCGGCGATAGGTTCGCCGCGTAGTAGCCCAGCCATCCGTTGGGGATGGAGACCTTGGATGTCGGGGATGATGAGACAAAGACTGAGGATGAGACGGTGGTAGGTGTCCCTGTTGCAGAGGAGTATCCTGAAGTGACAGCTGACGCCGATGGCAAGTACGAGGTGGCCAATGTCGAGCAGAGGCGTAATGCATTGGGGACTGTTGGATGGGTGAGTGCTGAAGTGATGCATGCTGAATCGGTGAGTGAGGAATTGGAGAATGAGTGAGTGAAGAGTGTTGTAATGGAGACTGAAGAGGAGAAGTCCTTTGGAAGTAAGGGTTGTGTTGAAGAACCCATGGTTTTGGTGGGCCTAATGCGTGAGGCGATGTTCGCAAGGGCGAGTGAGCAACTGGGGACTGAAGCAATGAAGATGGCAGGTGAGAATGTTGCAAAGTCGACTGTAAATGTAACGGGTGTTGCAACGACGGCTGAAGATGCCCAGAATGTTGCAGAGGAGATTGTAAGTGTACTGAGAGAGGGATATTGGTCTGGAGATGGTGAGGAGAAGCAAGATGGTGGTATTGGAGACTACGACTATCTGGATGATGCTGCGGATACTGTTGCTGATGAGAGTACTGATGGAGAATGGTCGACATTAAAGGAGCTTGCTGGTCTTGAATTGGTTGCAGAGACTGTTGGAGAGAAATATTTGGGTTCCGAGACTGATTTGGATCTGATAAGACGGGAGGGATTGATATAACCGATGCTAAGCTGGCATTCACATGAGTTTGAAGGAATGCGTCTTTTGCGGCGTCATGGGCTACTGAAACGATAGGAAGTCTTCCATTAGATGATGCATCGAGTGAGGTTCTCGGTGGTAGGTCGTGTACTGGTTGAGATAGATTGCGTGGAAGAACCGGTGGCGGTGGCTGAAAACTTCTGGGTTGCACAGGAGGTGGTTCCTTTGGCGGTTGAGCACAAAGTGCGTGTTGAAGTGAATGCTGAATCGGCTGTATAGCTATAGGTTGATGCGAATCAGATCGTAAGGAGTTCGACTTGCTTGCCACTTGGCGGGGTTTGTGAGGTAGTGTTTGGTAAGTTGAAAGTTTGCTTTTGGCCTGTTTCAGCTTTGTTGTTGATTTGGACAACTGTTTTGAAACAAACCCTTGAGGGATGCGTTGTTGGCTAAGTTTGGTTTTATGATTGTAAGTTTCTTGTGATTGTCTAGGCAACACGGATGGGGGCTGCTGGAGTGGTTGATGAAGCTGAGGGTTGTTCAGTTGATGCGGGATTGTTGGAGAAGGTGTTTCTGAAGCAATGAGATTAGACAGTTGAACATCTGGAAGAGGTAAAGTCGAAGACGAAGAGAGAGAAGAAGTTGGGGAATCTTTAGGAGGAGCCTTGGTGATCGTCTTGGTGGTGTTGGTAGATGATGACGATGGAGAAGATGGAGAGTGTACCGGTGATGCCGAAGTGAGTGATGGAGTTAACGATGATGATGGTGAAGACGAGGGGTTAGTAGGACCAAGGATGGGTGCAGGTGGGTTGGCAGGAGCAACCTCTCTTTTTTGAATATGGCGACGAGTTTTGGTGGATTTCGGTGGCAATGGCGGAGGAAGCGGTGAAGCCGATGAAGATGAGGAAGGAGAAGATGCAGAAAGAGGAGATTTGAAAGATGAGTGAGAAAAGCTAGAAGGGTTGATGGTTCTGTTTATGGGTCAGCTTGTCCTAGGATCTATCAAAAAAACGTGAGGTTTGTCCGTCTCCTGATCAGACTTCGACGTCATCCTTCAGAGAGAACCTCAACGCTCGGCGTTACCACCAATCAGCTCGACGGACGAAGTCTCACAAGTAAGAAAAAATCAAAAGTACTCCAACACAAAAGCACCGAGAATTAGAAGCCAAATCAAACCGAAACATGGTCGAATTCTTTTGCTGTTTGACGTTCAATCGAGGAAGCAACCGATTGCACAGAAATGCAAGAGAGTTGAAAAAAAGAGTAAAATTGACGGATTAAATCAAATATGATAGCTGGTTCACTATATGTATTCGTAACAGATCCAGTTTTGAAACATAAAATTAATACTCAATCAAATCGGTGTGGGAAGTAACGTGTAAATATCTTCACAATACATGTCTGGCTTATTTATTTAATCCTCACTCAAGAAAAAAAGCTTATATGTTAGTTATTGAGCAGGCAAAGTTCGACTTCGAAGTTTACAAAACCTCCATTGGCTATGCAGCATACAGTTCAACCAGGAATAGTGCCAGGGAATTACGTTATGCTTTTTGATTTGATAATAAATCCAATGTCTGAACAACAAAGTGATCCAAGGAACGTGTGCAATGATGTATTCTGACTATATTATGAGGGTAACGAAAGGACAATTGGGCACGAAAGAAAATAAACAGTAAAATAGTCGAGATGAAAAATGATACAGTGTATTAGTCAAGTAAAATTGTCTCACTGGTTCTTGCCTCTCTGTAAACCACTCATCACAAAACTTTGGATCTGAACCACTCACATCCTCGGCGCTTTTCTCGCTTAGAGTTTTTTTATAGTATATCCACCTGGTAAATAAAATTAAATAGAATAATCATATACTTAGCTCTTACGACAAATACTAAAAAATTTCCATATAATTTCGCCGAAGAACTCCACTTGTTCATGGTCCACGCACAAGTTATTTTCATGGATCCGAAATACAAAAAGGTTCTCAACTTCCCAGGGCTCTTCTCCAACCCTCACCTTTTCAAGGTCCAACAGCAACGATGTAAACTAGAAATTTTTCTATGGGAATTTTTGAAGAAAAATATCGCTTCGATATTTTTAATTCGCCATTTTCAAAATTCAATAAGAAGAATCACATAAAGAAAAACGAATCCATCATGTTTATTCCAACGCAAATAACATTTTATGATTTAAAAACAAGTAATAAAACTGAGAACTTTATAATGAAAACCAATCGACCTATGTTCAAGCTAATAATCTAGCTGCATGTAACATGCATTTCAATTTTTTTCAACTCACGAAACGAAGCTCGAACTACCAACTCAACTCCTCGCCTACGGATGCAACGCTAAATTACGTTGGAAATTTCAGTTATAAATTACGAACTCGACGAACTTTGTAATGGCATCACAGAGAATTATGGAGCTTTAAGAAGAGCTTGCAGCAGCCACGTTCTAATATAGACCGCCAAACTAGCGCAATGCACGACAATATTTGCTTAATTTGTCAAGTTAGTGTACAGAATGGGACGCCTGCTCCGGCATATTAGGACTTTGACGATGAGCAGTAGGTGAGGGCAACTGGTGGCTTATACACAAGCGAGTGTTGCTTAGTCTAATAGCAAAGCATCTTTAAATGAACTATCCAAGCAGAGATTACGTAACGAATCGCCGAATTTCAAATAAAAAAAAGCATCGTTAGAAGCTAATTATTAGATTGCAAGGGAGCTTGCTGGTAGAAATTGAATTAAATATATTTTTTAATTTAATTTGATTTTTTAGTAGCTGATCTGGATCTTTAGTAGCTGAACTCGATGACTGGAAGTTTTCTAAATTTTTTTATTTCAATCGACGCCTTGCGGGTAGTTAATCGTTCATTTCTAACATCATCCATCTGAAGAGGTTTTTGTGGTTTCAAGAATATTAGCTAATATAAGAATAGCTGTTGCACAAAAAATACAATACAACGATTGAAACCATGTAAATTATCGTTAAAAGACGGTTTCTAAACAGTTGATTACGTGACGTAAGCAACTAAGAATGAACAATAAAAAACGTTATCAATTAATAACGGAACAAAATTTTACGACCGCTTGTTCTCGAAATAAAGAATCTAATCAAATTAAGTTGCCTCTAAGATTGCTAAAGAGACATTGAGAATTAAAGTCAAACGTTAAAGAGTTCTAGCCAGAAAGATAACCCAATTTATTAACGCTGTTAATTATGAACATACATATAATTGTTCTAGAAAGATTCGATCATTTTCAGGCCACTTATGACCGTTATTTTTCAAGTGCTAATATAATCACAATCATAATGATCACATTATAAATATGATCATCATCTCATTATCTCAGAAAGTCCATTATCCGTCGCTGGTGCACATCTCTGCGTTTAAAAAGCCATCGAAAAACGAAATATTGCAGTGGGATGACAATAAGTAGTGGAGGACGCAGCTTTCAAGCCGACATCTCAGCACATCGATAGCCGGCCAGAGGAGCCACGCAGGCTTCCAGGGATGGCTGATACATCCAGCCACAAGCCATGGTCATGGCTATGTCTTCCGGTGAATATAAGTGAGCTGGAGCCATGGCAGTTCGATGGAGAATAGCGGTTACTAAACACTACACTGCCAACACTACTTCCATCTCCCTTAACGTGTTTATGGATCGTTTCCACGAATACAAATCAAGGAAATCACTTTAAAAAGTGAGCGACACGCGAGATGGAAGATTTTCCATGCTCTTCAATGCACTGCGTGAAATTGATCCATGATGGATATCTACCAAGACACTTCACGGTACAATGTAACAACAATTAGCCATGAACCCGAAACACACACTTTACCAGCAACGGCAGCGTGCTGCCCCTATCACTGTCAGATGTGAACTGGTTCAAGCTACCAGTTTGGAGGGCTACAATGCCCTCTCCCAGCCTACCCTCGCTACCCCTCATCGTACCCCCTTTACCCTCAGCTCGAAGAGAGTGCCACATAGCGCGCCTTCCTCTCAGCTTCGGACATCGAATAAACAAAATTCAAGCAGCATAGCCATGTCACTCCGAGAGGCTGAGGCTACTCTCACCAGAGAGACACGACTGCACTAAACAACCATAAAATGAATACTATAAATTAGTTAAGAAAATCCATCATCAACTATCTTCATGATCTCCATCACTAAAATGTGTGCTCACTCAATCAAAGTCAGGTTTTCCGAAGTCTTCACTAGTTGGATACAAGGCAACATTATAAGCAAAAGGTTAAATACATAAATAATGATGGGGGCCAAAACGCAAGGCGCTAAACAAAATCGCGAGTTCATGACGATAACAGTATTTGAGCAGTTTGGAGGATAAGTGCATAAACCACGCGACCTATATGAAACCATACAAAAACATGATTGATTTTTCAACAAAAATTAATTTGAGGAATTTTCTCAAACGATTCCATAACCCAAATTTGTTTAATTTCAAAATTTATCCCCAGAATCGCCAGCAGATTCAGAAAAATTCATGGTTCATACAATCACAGTAATGACACATTCTTTACGCTGCACTGAAAATTTCTTTCTCAGACTAAACTGGGTCAATATTACCCCCACAAGAGCAAAGTACATCGGACGAAGTCTAACT